TGTTTAAAAGCTGTCCATGCTTCTTTTTCGTCTTCCTGCATAACCGTCTCAATTTCATTAGTTTTCATCAACCTTCTTATTTGTGTCCCAACAAAGATGCCTTCTTTAAATTTAGCTTCAGAGAGACCCGGAAATCTTTCACACAAGTACTTAAAGCAACCACCATTTTTGTCTAGAGCTTTGACAAATTGTTTCATCATCCCCAATTTTATATGTAGAGGGGGTAATAAAATTTTCTCGGGATAAACTAGGCTTTCCCGAATTACGTTTTTGAAGCCAGGCGTTAAATTTTTTCTTGGTGGCCAGTTTTTTTTGGTCCAGCGGTGATCTCTTGCTCTACTGTCCCACTCACATAGGAAACATGGGTATTTCGTATATCCGGATTGTTGACCTAAAAGAAACCCTAAAATGTTAAGGTCGTCACATAGAATCCAGTTATGTTGTCAGTAGTTTATTCTTAAAAGCAGTACCTCAAGATTTTCGTAATTGTCTTTTAGCTGAGTAGAATGACCAACAGGAACAGATGCATATAAATTGCCATAATGAAGTAGAACAGCTTTAAGACTTCTCTTTGAAGAGTCTATAAAAAGTCTCCATTCGGCAGGATTGTATTTAGGAGCACCTAGGTGAATAACCAAGTCAGATACATTTTGACAATATACAAGTGAACCAGCTGCGGCAAAGTAATTGACAAATTCAGCCTCACAATTTTTATACCAATAAAATGTAATACCTGGAACAAGTAATTTTTTTTCTTTAAGCCTTGATCCTAAAACCTCAGAGAGGTCTTATGGAAGTCCCAAATCCCTGACTAAGTCATTCAGTTCTACTTGAGAAAATAGCTGCGGTTCACGGGTTCCTGAGGTAGATGGCTCAAAAATGTCAATTTCTCAATCTGTTGAAGATTCTGATTCGATAGATTGTAATACTTTAGGTGGAACAGGTACAGGTATATCAGCATCATGTGGAAGTGGTCTTATTGCAGACGAAAGATAAGGATAGTTAATATACTTTAGAGATTTTGTGTTATGACCTTTATTATCACAAAGACAAAAATAGCAGTCGTCAATGTGATTTTTAGGTTCTCTCCAGACCATTGGTATTCCAAAGGTAGGGCTTTTCTTGTTCCTTTAAACCAATGCCTCAAGGCTTCTTTGCAAATCTTGCAGATAACATGTGGCGCCCAAGGTTTATCTTGATCTCCTAGTCTGACTTGAAAATATGCAAAATATGCATTTTTTACGAACTCAGTAATGTTTTTTATAAACTACTTCACTACAAAGTGTCCACAAATATAACAAAAGTCATCAGGCCTATTTTTACAACACCTACTAGACATTTTTTTAATAGAAAGTGCACAACGAAACACCGATAGAATTCGACAGACAACGCCTGTCTCAATACCACGGGGATACTAAATATATCGCATTCTTTCCTGAATAAATCGAGTCTCGGGGAATCCCAAACAATATTCTAGTAAGTATCGGTAAATCCCCCTACAAATGCGCAAATTAAAACGAGGTTTTAACGCGTCTCAACGTTTTGAACAAAAATAAGGAATTCAAATTAATTTGTTTGTGATGTTCAGGGATAATACCTTTGATACTAGTTTACAAAAAAAGTTTACGTGATAGAATAAAAGGGGGTTATTTTAGCTATATAGAAGTTGTAAATAGGTGAAAAAAAAATGGCTAGATCACAAAATTTTCGCGGACCTGTGTTATTAATCGCTATAATTTTTTAATTACTTAAGATAATTTTACAAAATTCGGCAAACGTTTTTGGTGTCATAATTATATCTATTAGCAAAAATCAGTAATATAAACTTTTTCAGCGGCCTAAGGCGTACAGCATGGGTAGGTAATACCTTCATCCCTTCAAAAGTTTACCCCACTACCACAAATTATTCGCACTATAATTTTAAATTTTTTTATGTTTATGAAATAAAATCTTAAATTACAAAATTAAAAAAAAATAAATTAGAAATGTCCACCTTTGACTGTAAATATTTCGAAAACCAATCACATTATGAGTTCCCAACAAGAATACATGAAGCTTAACACTTTTCTCATCATTTTTAAAAATCATTTCCAACCTATGCAATTATATTTATGGCATTTACGGCGTTATTTAAAAAAATTATCTACTTTTAGATTATAGGTAGTCGTTATATCAGCGTAGGACATTTTTAAACCCATTTAAATGACTCCCCCTATTTCCTGTTTGTCCCACATTAATAATAATCCACTTTAGTTTATCAATAACACCACAACAAAGTCTTGCTGCGCCAATCCGATCGTATGCAAATGTTAGAACAGTGTGAGGTCCAAAGGCGCCATGTTGTTTCCCATATAAGGCATCGTGTAAATTAATGCATGAAAGCACAGTCATTGCGACGCATGCACTCCGCTACTAAGCCGCAGTACTGAGTACTGAGGCGTGATTGTTATGGCCATTTTTTAATAATTCAAACAGGCGCGGACTAAGGACTAATAAGCGCTTTCTGATGACAATAATTGTTAATGACTGATTTGTATTTCTCACAAAAAAAATGGCAGTTTTGCTTCAAAAATGACACAACTCAAAATTTACATCTTTTGAGTTTTCTAGTTAGGTTAAATGTGATAAGTAAACAACCCTACATGAAACTATCAAAAATGACACAGTCTCTTCTAAGGTAAGTTAAAACAATTTTGATTATTAAAGTAGGGTTGTTTGTTAACCATTTTTATGGTATTAATTCAAAAGATGTAAAATATGTGAGTTTTGAGTTGTGTCACTTTCAAAACAAGAGTGCGAAATGTGCTTTTAACCTATTTAGGTTTCTAACAATTTTGAAACATTAGATTCATCAATGAATATTTAATGATATGGCAACTCACAAAGAAGTAATACTAGTTTGGGTACCAAAACATAGTATCCAAGGCTGATGAATTTGCCAAAGATGGATCATAACTATACCTTTCATAAGACCCGAACCTGTATATGGTTTACGCAAAATCTCTGCTCGCCAGGCAATGAACAGATGGATAACCATTAACATCAAACTTACTAGCAAATAAATAAGAGGACACATAATCATTAAGCTCATGCTAAGGATACCCAACCTGCGAATGGCTGACTGAGGTCCCTAATATCCATCATTGTGGGATTAATAACGGGATGCTTGCTGAAACACCACCTCTATAGACACTTCAAAAAAAAATGACATCATGTTATCTTCGAATATAAAGCGCTAACCAGGCAGCGACACACCGTTTTTGGTCTAGAACTCAAAAACACAGTATTATTCAAAGATATACCTAGTGGTGCGCACAAGACGAGACGAGATTTGTAAATCTCGTTCTCGATCTCGTAAAATCTCGAATTCTAAATCTCGATCTCGACTTTTAGAGAATCTCGACTTGGCAACCTCGATCTCGAATCTTGCCGAGATCATTAAAATATTATTCTTAGAAAATAAAAAAAAACTATCCTTTAAATAGGTACGTTAGAATATCCATTAACATTATAAAAATAAATATTCATAAATTTTATCGAATCATAAAAAAAATATAATTTTTTTTAAATAATTTATATTAAAAATATTATAATAACTTTGAGGTTAATCAAGAATTGAGGCATATAAGAGTACCCAAAAAAATTGGAAGCCATTTTTGATAGCATCTTTGTCGGTCTTTCAAGAATTTTAGTAGCGATCAAGTTCCTGTCTCGAAATATCAGTGACTTGGGATGAGTCGTAGATTGAACTAAGGTCAATATCATCATCAGATAAACATTTTGATGCTGACGATGACCAAGCAGAAGTATTTGTTGCATATATAAAATATTGCCGCTTGTAAATATCTTCGAACTCTTCAATACTTTTTTCCTTATCTCTCTGTGTCAGTGTCTGCTTTTGCGCAGGCTGGTGAATCATCCGGCTAAACAGAAATCAAATCAACGTAATCTTGGCGAATTTTTTCGAGATCTTCACGAGATTTTTTCGACACCTCGGCGAGATTTTTTTGAGATCTTGTTATCTTGTTCTCGCCGAGATCTCGAGGATCAGATCTCGACTCTAAATCTCGACTTATTATCATCTCGTACGCACTACGCACGACTACGGAAAAAGTAGAGGAACACAATACACCCAAGAGGCAGCAGTGTTTAGGGCTTAATCTAACGCTACTTGCTTATAACCAACAATGATAAAGATGAAGATAATGATAAAGAATCCGTAAATCGCACCTTTGTAAGCAAGAGTGTTACAATTCTAATTCTTTAGTTGAGTTGTTAGACTGCCAGATTTTTTTTTATTATACTTAAATTTGACTCTGGGCGTGGATTTCCTGACTACTAGAGCTACAGGTCATAAACTGCACGTTGATGACCGTAAATAGAAAAATGTTTAGTTATTGTTGACGATGCAGTAACTCCTTTATTACATGCAGGGAACCCGAGATTAATTATCATTTTACCCTAAAGACGATTTCCAATTTCTGAGCAGCCACAATGATAATTCCTGCAAACCAACAAAAATCGAATGAACTGATAGGAAACTTATAGCTTTAAGGTTTAGAAAAAGTTTTTATATAAAACGTAGAAGGTTAGATATATTGATTAAACCTAAATAATTATCAAGCAGAGTCACTGGGCGCTACTAAAAATATTTAAAACACCGATCGCAAAATCCCAGCAGTGATAGCCCTCAGGTCTAAGGTCAGGGAATGGATGATAAGAATTTATAAGCTAAATGAATGGGAAGGAATGGGCATCCAAATGTTAGTACAATAAGCTAGTTGATCAGCAGTGTTGGCATGTGAATCTAAGTGGAGGAAAAAACAGGCTGTATCTCAAGCAAGATTGATGGAAGCCAGCGGGTGTTTTCAAGCCGAATTAGGGATAGTCTGCTAGAATCCCTTAAGTAGGATGTCTGAAAGGGCGAAAAAAATCCAAATTTTCTGTCACGGATGAATTTGTGAGATGTTCGCAGTTGATAAATTTTTCGTTAACTTGAAATGGAAGGCAAGTCTGTACTTTTGTATCTTTTGGAATACTCTTACAGTTCTTGTGAGTAGTGTTTTAGCATTTTTACGGTCATTCAAAAAGTAAAAAAAAATAAATTGAAACAACCACGAATTATATGAAGTACAGAGGTTTTTAAGATTGTATCTGTTTTTAACATCATTTAGTACCTATATAATTATTTGTTATAGGTACTACCTATGTCAATTTTCTCTCTGAATGTACTTATATTTAAATCGTATAGGTCATTTAACTGATCAATAAAGATACGTAATTTTCGTTTTAACGAAATAGAAGCGATAAATGCGAAATTCACGTAAATTATGCGATAAATACAAAATATAATATTTTGTGTATTTAATACTTTTTCGACGAAATTTCGAAGAAAAACATTTTTAAAGTCGATAAACACGTGAATTTTCTGATATTACGAGCTTGGATAAATTGTCTTCACATATGAGATTCAACCCAACAAACGATTCCTACCTGCACATTGGCAAATTATTTTGCCCATCAGTAGCAGCGGCCGTGACCACTTCGTCTCTGGACACTGACTCAACACTGGAGAGCATCTCCAGAATACCATTTTTCAGGTTTATACCACAGGATTAACTCGTAAGTGGATATGCTCATTTCCATAGATAACTCGTCAATGTGGTTCAGCAAGAAACTCCTTTAACGTCATGCAGATTTTACTTGCATCAAAATGTTGCTACCTGAAGTTCGCGAATGCAGCTATACAAAGTCTTCATAGCCCAGTCAACAGTGTAGATGGTGAAAGATATTTCAGTATCTACAATGTCGTCATGAATTACCAAATAAAAAGGCTTAATTAAGCAAGAAAATATAGAGACAACCACGATGTAAGCTTTTAACTAACTAAGTAGTCCCAATTCGGACGGTAAATATCAGAAAAAACTGATCGTTAGGTGTGTGAAACCATGGAAAAAATTTATATTCATGTAACAAACATTTTCTACCACTAAAAACATACATGTCCGCATAAAGTAGTCGTGTAACCTTCCCTAGTCATCTGGGGTACTTCCTCGCCATCCAGAAATATTTCATGCACAGATACCTAGATGATGAGGGGTACTTTATTGGTATTTATTAGCGAACTTCTTCTAGTACCTCTTTCGATTTTAATCCGATCAATTTTAGCACAAAAAACTTCCGCGTGGAAAAACATTTTTGCAATAAATTCACGCCAAGAGTCAAATTGACGCCTGTTTAAATTATAGTAGGTCAAGTTAGCGCTTAATAAAAAGAAAGTAAGACGAATTAGCACGTAACAAAATATTCCAGTATTCTAATTAAAATTAAAATATATAAAACTAATTTACCTAACCTGTATGGCCTGGAAACATGTACAACAAAAAAATTTGAGATTTTTGAAGACATTGAGATTTGTAAAGCCCTTCACGTTTCAACAGGGCATCTATTGATACAATTTATTTATATCAGGTGCTAACGTGTCCCATTTTATTTATATGAGGCGCTAACTTGTCTAATTTTATTTATATCAGGTGCTAACTTGTCTCACTTTGATTATATCAGGCGCTAACTTGTCCCACCTTAGTAATATCAGGTGCTAACTTGTCTCTTATGTATTTGTCTGTATTTTTTCTCGCGCGTAGTTATTTGGCGCTAAAACGGATCAGACACTTTCAGTTTTACCTTAACATTCCTTTATCGAAATAACTTTAATAAGAACAAAGTTGAAGTAATTTTCTAACCAATATTTACGAATAGTTTTACGAAGTTTTGAAGAAATTGGTTTCGTGATATCGTTAAATATTCTAAATCTGATACATTTAAATGAATATTTAACGATGAATTCTTGCAAGCCCGCCCCTTATCTCAAGCTTGTAAATTATGCCAGCTTACAATTACCGACACTTACATGAAAGAGTTGAATTAACTAACCGTTCTATATTATTTTACTTGAGATGTGTGTGACAATTTGCTTGATAATAACAGATTAATGATAAGAAAGACTTACGAATAGTGTTTAAGGGGACATGACAAAATAGGATTCTCTTAAAAAGTTAATTTAGATTCTATATATAGAATGAGAATTTAAAAACTTACAATGGCAATATCTCATGAAATAAAGATAATTTATGTTGTTTTCCTGATGGACTAGCCCATTCGAAATCAGGTTTATGGTAATTAAATATTAAATAATATATATTTATTTATTTATTTATTATTGTGGAAATCAAGCTTTTAAAATATAGTTTGAATTTCATCAAAATTCATATTGATTTAATGGGAATCAAGAATGTTGCATAAAAGCTTAACAGAATAAATTACTTAACAACTCTGCCTTATAGACGAAAACAGAATAAAATTAATGCAGCATCCGCAAATCCTACAAACTTCAACAACTTATTTTTGTCAGGTTTCCATCATATATATCATACCCAACTTGGGGCAATAGAATTTTTTTTTTATTATTCGAATAATTACATAGATTTTTGATTTTTGGGACGCAAAGTAAGCTGCAAACTGTAATATTTGCAAACCTTAATAACTTGGTTTTGTCGATGGTATACTTTCGATAATACCACAATTGTTTTCCCAAGTCTTATAGAGTAATATCAGTCACATTAATTGGGTTCACCGCATATTTCACGCCCTACTATCGGAAATCAAGGAGCTATATACACCAAAATGTTCAAAATCATCAGACGTAGGACTTTTACAAAACCATTGTGATTTTGAACAGACGGCATTTAGTGCAATGGAGAATTCGAACAGCAATCATTAACGGATGGTTTTTATGTAATATGGCTTATGAGCCATGAGGAGACATTGGGGTACAATTGAATAATTGACACAATACAAAAATATTCCTCAATTTTCACAGAGTGCAGGAATTGTAACATCTATGCAATAAGGTTGAATATTATGGAGATAAAATGCTAAAAAAAGGGGGCACTACTTCCCCCTCCCTTAGAAGCGTTGCTATAGTTGTCAAAGAGCTGTCAAAATTTAAATATTTCAGTTTTAATTCTGTTCTAGTTAGTCTTTTTTATTTATTCATTATTTTGCATAAACATCATGACCAAGTGTACTAAACAAAATTATTAAAGATATAAAATAAAGAAGCGGCAGAAAACGTCTGATTTAAGTTTTCACAAGTAAGTATGAGGACTGTAATTAATATTTTTTCATAATTCTTAACTTCTTGCTTAACGTTAAAATTTTATTACGATTTTCAAAAGACACGATATATGAATTTGTGGAAAAATACCATTTGAGGCCTATACCAAATATTATGTTGTGTTCAATTCATGTTTAGAACGAATTTTTAGAAGAAAGGGAGTTTAGAATTAGTTCTGACATTAAATTATTGTTTAGTTAGTAGTATTTACAATAAAAATTAAAAAAACTAGCTATATAAAGACCGTTAGTTCAACTAACTTTATAATAAAATTTAGATAACCAACTAAAATCAAATTTTAATGACTAAATTTCTTCAAATTATGAGGTAAATTATTGTATTGAAAAAGTCCATTGTGGAAAAGATCAGTTGGTGGTAATTGTAGTAACATAAGAGTAGATACCTATACAAAGCCACTACGTGCTCACATAGGGAATTCAATGTTTAAGAGTGATAGGTACAAATTCAATGGGTAGGAGTGAGACAGAGTGAGGGGAAGTGAAAAAGAGTGGAGAGTGGGGAGAATTAAATTTCTACACCAAACGCAAAAATAATGCGATTGCCAAAAGGGCCTAAGCGTGTTTCTTGGCTACCATTGGTCTGATTCAAACGGAAAAAACGGCATTATGTAGAGAACTTGGTATAGATGAACGTTGAAAAGAAAAATCCTGCGCAGAACGAAAGCCAGAAGAACCTAAGCGTGTTTCTCGGCTACTGTTGGTCCGATTCAAACGGGAAAATCGGCATTATGTAGAGAATATGATATAAATGAACGTTGAAGAGAAAAATAATGCGCAGAACGAAAGCCAAAAGGGCTTAAGCGTGTTTCTCGGTTATTACTGGTTGACGTTTTCGTTTGACGTTTTCGTTTGACGTTTTCGTTTGACGTTTTCGTTTGACGTTTTCGTTTGACATTTTCGTTTGACGTTTTTGTTTGACGTTTTTGTTTGACGTTTTCGTTTGACGTTTCGTTTGATGTTTTCGTTTGACGTTTTTGTTTGACGTTTTCGTTTGACGTTTTCGATTGACGTTTTCGTTTGAAGGTTTCGTTTGACATTTTTATTTGACGTTTTCGTTTAATGTTTTCGTTTGACGTTTTCGTTTGAAGTTTTCGTTTGACGTTTTCGTTTGAAGTTTTCGTTTGATGTTTTCGTTTGACGTTTTCGTTTGACGTTTTCGTTTGACGTTTTCGTTTGACGTTTTCGTTTGATGTTTTCGTTTGACATTTTCGTTTGACGTTTTCGTTTGACGTTTTCGTTTGACGTTTTCGTTTGACGTTTTCGTTTGACGTTTTCGTTTGACGTTTTCGTTTGACGTTTTCGTTTGACGTTTTCGTTTGACGTTTTCGTTTGACGTTTTCGTTTGACGTTTTCGTTTGACGTTTTCGTTTTGACGTTTTAGTTTGACGTTTGATATTTCGTTTGACGTTTCGCATGACGTTTTCGGTTGACGTTTTCATTTGACATTTTCATTTGACGTTTTCATTTGACGTTTTCGTTTGACGTTTTCCTTTGACATTTTCCTTTGACGTTTTCGTTTGACGTTTTCGTTTGACGTTTTCGTTTGACGTTTTCGTTTGACATTTTAGTTTGACGTTTGATATTTCGTTTGACGTTTCGCATGACGTTTTCGTTTGACGTTTCAGGTTAGATAGTTATGTTTATCTGCTATATATCTAGTGTTTTTAATAAATGTTCAGATAGTAATTTGTGTTCTATTTTATATACAAAAGTCATTGTATTTAGAAATAACGTTAGTTTATCATTCAATAATTCTGTTGCTTGTAACATGGTTTCAATATAATAATTGTATAACGATTACATCATATAATACAAAGCCCATGATGTTCTCTATATATTTGTTCCGTTAGCACCCA